CGCACACACAGCACAAGCACCAGCGTTGGCCGGAGCTCTGTAGATGAGATGGCAAAACTGAACTCGTTCTCTTTACTGAGTTGCAGTGGGAAGCTATATATATAACTCTACCCATCTAATCCTAATACACAGACATGCCAGGCTGCCATGCTGCTACAGTGACTAGATGTGAGAGAATGACTGACTTTGGCGCTTGCCCCTGTCAGGTGGCTCAAGGCGGCAGGGAGCCTTTTTCGCCGCCGCCCATGAAGGCAGTGCATCAGCAGGGAGCCCTTTCGGCGCCTGCCCCTGCCGCGCGTTCACTGATGGGAGCGCAGCAGATTACTTTACACTCCCTTTCAGTCTGGTATCCCATAGCTCTCCCTCCCAGTCTGGTATTCCAGTCATAGGGCTAGGACTATATGTAATAGACATCAAAGTTGTAAGTTATAGGTATGGAAACTGCTGGTGCGATTCATCTAAAATTGTACATCCATCATTGATTTATTATGACTGTGTACTCCAAAACCTTCATGCATTAAGCATCACAGTTTTGTTTGCTTAGTGCCACACTGCCAATGTCATGTGAGCTGAAGGGAACGCAGAAGGGGCTGCTGAACTGATGGCACTATATATGTGCTCTTGTGTGAATTTGCCACACTGCCGATCTCATCAGTTTAAATTTGACACCCTTACCGTGAAAAGGTGTACCACCATCTGTAACTTTCTATGGCTGTGTGGCAACAGCAAACTGTCGTCGTGGATGCCTATCAAGGATGAACTGAACTGGATCGTTCATTTGGCCGGGGGTTGGCAATATCAAAATGCGCAATTGTGGTGTTTGCTCCTCAGTTGCGCTGATAACAACCATGAACCGTACTAAATTGGTACTGAATTGTATGTCTGAACTGAAACTCCGTCCCAGTTCGGCAACTCCGAGTTTGTGCTGCTGTTGTTGCCACCAACAATATACAAAGTAGCAAATTCGATCCTTACCAGGCTATCAGCTGCAAGCCAAACAATCCTACATCGATTTTAGAATCAACTGGAACATCTAAACAATTAAACTAGATCGCCACCAGTTGGCTGAATAATAATCATTACAGCATTCCAGACAACTGAATCCATTACCAACAAGACTGATACAGTTTTTTTTTTATTTACCGAAGCATTCTTTGCTCCGGCGTTGGAGCTCCGCCGGTACTCCTCCATCTGCTGCTCCGTGTACCCGGACACGTCGCAGGTCCGTGTACGCCTGAGCCTCTGCACCTGCGCCCGGCTCTCCGCCACCTCCCGCCGCAGCGCCGCCTTCCGCACCCGCAGCGCCTCCTGCTGCGCGACCGCCTGGCGGTATGCCTCCGGGTCCGGGGCGGCGGCACCGCGGAAGAGGTGGGCCACGATCTCTGCCTCGATCTGCTCCTCCATCGAGTCGTCGAAGAGGACCTCGTCCACCAGCACGTTGTATTGGCCACCATCACACTAGCTTCCTCGTGATCACGAGGAATTTCTGCTGAGTGAAAAATCCCCTGGCCACCAAATCTGCTGCTGAATTATCTTCTTGATTCTTGATGTAAATATAAATAGGATACTGGAACTCTTCTTTAAAAACCTTTTTGCCCTTCCTCACCTGATGCTCAATTTAATTACAACGTCACTCTTAGCGTCACCTGATGCTCAATTTAATCACAGTGTCAATCTTAGCATGTGCTGTCACTGATTTCGATTTGTTACAAGTTTGTCTGGAATGGAATGGACTTAGATTAGCTAAAGCAAGAATATTTGCAGGTTTCGATTATCGATCCCAGTGTCACTCTTCAACATATAATGGAGTTAAGTTAGTCAGGGCAATTCCTTAGGATTTTCCAAAAGATTTGCAACATTCAGTTCCGCGAATAATCAGAAGCCATCACCAGCAACCATTGCATCAATGCGCTTGATAGAACAAGAAGCAACTAGGGTTTGAGAAAAGAAAAGTAGAATAGCATGAAAAGGACTATATTTGATTTGATTGTGCGTTATCAATTACTGGTCCGCTTCCCTTCACTTTTATGAGGGCGTCATGGCCTTTCTTGTATTGGATTTGAAATCTATTTAGACCTTAAACCGAAATTCTAGAATTTTTCCAAAAAGACTCTCTGCTGGACGTAACTCTCTCTCATGTATTGAGTGTTAAGCATCGAAGTCCCACGCATTGCCCAATAATCACTAGCCGTGGTTATGATCCCATGGAAAGTCTATTTTGCCGTAGCCGTGGTTATGACCACATGGCAAGTCTATTTTGTCGTACATTCTTTGGAGGTATCAGAAAAAACACCTCGCTATCACATTGCATAGGACCAAGGATGTTGCAGACCTTTCATTTTTGGTAGTTCATACCTTATATGGGATTTTATAGGATTTTATAGCTTATTGAACAAAGACTAATCAAGCTGGTCAACATGATTTTGGATTCAGATTACAGGTTTTCACAAGCATTTCAAAGGCTATGCACAAGCATTAGCTAAGGGTGGCCGGCAATTCACATGTGTGTATCCGTGAAGAAACCAAGGGAGGCCGATTGCTATACCTACTCATACGAAGTCGTCCGACTTGTCGCCTGTCTCAGCATGGTTTATTGGTTTCCTCTAATATTTCAGAGTTTCTACCTCAGCTCCTTACCAAATAAACAAAGTTATCCTATCTCTTGCAACATTTTTCAATGGCATTCTAGACATGGGGGTAGGAGTATATATAATAGACATATTGATTTAGCTTGTAGTTGTAAGCATGCAACCCGTTGGTGCAAGTCATCCAAAAGAACAAAACTAATCATGCATGTCATTTATTTATCATGAGTGAACTCCCCAATCGGATCCAAAATTACCAGTGTGCTGAAGGAAATGAATTGAAGAGGGGGCTGAACCCCAATGGCACTATGTGTGCTATACTTTTGAGTCTCTTCACGTTTTTGTCGTCATCGTCAAGCGTGGTGTGTATGGCTGCAACGGCAGCGTCAAACTCTCCTTTAGATGGCTATCAAGTATGAACTGAGCAGGAACAGGCATTTGGTGTTTCCTCTTCAGTTGTGTTAGATGGGCTATACAGCAATTTGGACTTGCTGAGAAGTCCGGTTACGGCATCGCTCACTATTGAGGCATGAGGAAGGCATGAACCAAATTCATTTGCTGACAAACCCAGTTGCCGCATCCTCTTCAGTCGTGGCCTCTCAATGTTTTTAGTCCCGTACGGGAGATAATGCACCCAAATGCTGGCCTAGCCAATGTTAGAAGTGCCACCATGACGGCACAGCTAGAGCACGAGGATGCTCGTGTGCTGGTGGCCCTATGCACGCACAGCTATATCCCTACAAGAAATTTTCTGCTGAGTGAAAAGTCCCCTGGCCACCAGATCTGCCTGCAGGCGCATGAGAAGTGCACTAGGCAATTTTCACCCTTTTTTCCTTTTATAATTATAAATTTTATTTACCTGCTGCTGCTGAATTAGCTTTTTGATTCTTAATGTAAACGTCAATGGCTTCAGCTAAGGATATTTGAAGTCTTCTTTACAAACCTTTTTGCCCTTCCTCACCTGATGCTGCAGCTTCTTTATCAGTTACATCATCACTCTTAACGTGAATGACAGCAAGAATTTGCTATCACTGATTTCGATTTGTTGCAGGTTTATTTGGCCGGGATGAGATGGACTTGGATTAGCCATAGCAAGAATATTTGCAGGTTTAGACTATCAATCACAGCACAGTTCAACAGACAACAGAGTCCGGTCCTCAAGATTTTTCCAAAAGGTTTGCAACGTCATTCAGTTCCGCGAGTGATCAGAAGCTATCACCAGCAATTGTTGCATCACTGCACTTGATAGAACAAGAAGCAACTAGGGTTTGAGAAAAGAAAACAAGAGTAGTGTCGAAAGGAGTATATTTGATTTGATCTTGTGTTGTCAGTTATTGGTCTACTTCCCTTCATTTTTATGAGGGCGCATCACATTTTTGTTTGCTTGGTGCCACACCCACACTGCCAATGGCGTATGAGAGCTGAAGGACAGGGGCTGCTGAACTGATGGCACTATATATGTGCTCTAACAAGAATCTCAGACAGTCTAAATTTACCACCATCGTCCTGCAAGCCTGCAAACGACCTTGCTGCAGCGGTAGCATTGGACGGCTATCAAGTATGGACTGAAGTCACTGAACTGGATTGTGCAATGTGTATCTGACCAGGAGTTGGCAGTATCAAAATGCACAACCGTGGCGGCGCCGCAATTGCACTGATGACAATCGACAACCATGGACTGTACAATGTCTGAACTGAAACTCAGTCCCGATCCAACTCAGGAACTAACTCCCAGAGTTTATGCTGCTGTTGTTGTGCCACCAGCAATTTTCAAAACGATTTTTAGAATTAACTGAGATCCCTCTGCTGATGGAGCATGCCAGCTAAGTTGAAGCATGCATAGTTCTTTTTAAATGAAACATTCATAGCTGCATAACGATTACCACATACTGAAGTAATACACAAATCTACTAGATTGCTACCAGTTGGCTGAATAATACACAAATCTACATGAGCGGCAGCAAACTCTCAGGCTTGGATGGCTATCAATGATGAACTGGACTGACTATGCTTCTGGCCGGGAGTTGGCAGTATCTATCAAAATACACTGTTCTGGCATTTGCTCCTCAGTTGAGCTGTACTGAATTGTATGTCTAAGCTGAAACTCAGTCCCAAATCTGGTAACTCCCAAATTTGTGCTGCCACCAACAATGCTTAAAGTAGGTAATTTGATCATTACCAGCCTAGACTACTAGTAACCCGAACAATCCAAAAACGACTTCAGAATCAACTGAGATCCCTCCTCCGCTCATGGAACAGCAGCTAAGTTGAAACGTCCATAGTTCTATTCTAACAGAAACATTCATAGCTGCAAACGGATTGATTACTGCAACTGAATTAATACACAAATCTAGAGGATTCCAGGCAACTCAATACACTACCAACAGACAGCGGATTGGCACCTACTTATTTCATTTATTTACCGAAGCACTCCTTGCTCCGGCGTTGGAGCTCCCGCCGGTACTCCTCCTCCTGCGCCTCCGTGTACCCGGACACGTCGGTCTTGAGCAGGTCCGTGTACGCCCTGAGCCTCCGCGTCTGCGCCCGGCTCTCCGCCACCTCCCGCCGCAGCGCCGCCTTCTTCGCCCGCAGCGCCTCCTGCTGCGCGACCGCCTGCCTGTACGCCTCCGGGGCGGCGCCGCGGAAGAGGTGGGCCACGATCTCCGCCTCGATCCGCTCCTCGATAGGGTCGTCGAGGAGGACCTCGTCCACCAGCACGTCGAAGGAGTCGTTGCTGCTGCTGGAGGAAGAGGAGGATGGCCTTTTGCGGGAGGGGGTGGGGGAGGAGGGGCGGCGCACGGCCGCGGAGCGCGCTTCCGCGGGGCAGGCGGCGGCCTGATGACGAGACATTTTTGGTGGCGTGGCGGAGATTGAGAGGGGAGGGGAAACAAGACGACAGCTGTAGTAAGGTTTATGCAACGGCTAATTTGCGGGCCCAACCTAATACGACGTCGACGTGGTCCACCAAATTCCCTCAACGGGCCTCCACAAAAGCCTGCCTTAGCTCGGCGGTGGATGTCTGGCCCGAACCGATAGGACCAAGTTTGTGGATCAGGAGAAGAAAAAAAATCCTCAAAAAAAAGGAGAAAAAAATATTTATCTGCATCATCTATTTCACGGATGCTCGTATTTTCCTCGACTTATTCCAAGATTTAATGGTGCTATGCTTTCAGTGGTACGCAACGTCCCCGACAGCGTGACGCCTATGGAGACTTTCGTGAATCGCTATGCTTTATGTGGTACACGATATCCCCGACAGCGAGACGCCCGTGGTAACTTCGTGAATCTTAAGATCTACCGGCTCAGTCCTTCTGAGCCGTAGATAGCGAGACGTCTGTGGTGACTTCGTGAATCTCGAGATCTGCCAGCTCAGTCATTCGGAGGTGCTCATAGAGATAGAGTTTTCGCACGTGTATTCATAGGGGTTAGTGTGTATACGTGTTGTGGGTGTCACGTTGTACTGTGTAATTCTCAAAGAAAAATCTATATCCCCACAAAAAAAAATTCGGAAATGCTAGGGTCAGGGCGTCCGGACGCTCCCCGTTGCCGTAGGCCACGACGGTACAAACGGCTCAACTCGGATGCCTCCTCTGATGGGCTTTTTGATAAAAAAAAAGTTCGGTTGTCTTTTTCAATCCCCATCGAAACCATTCTTCATTCGCATCGGCTACATCCGCCGTAGCGTTTTCCACCCCCGCACCACGGCCGCCCCAACTCCTGCTCCTGCTCTTACTCCTCTTCCGCATGCCCGCCCCGCTGCTCTTGCTCCGCTACCCGCCCCGCCCAACGATGCAGGCAGGCGCCAGTGCGAGAAGAAACACCCCGCCCTAGCGTGGGAGCCCTCTAGCCTTGCCTCCTGCTACGGCTACGGTGCGCCAATGTCCTGATGCAGACGGTGGAGAAGGCCGCACCGGGATACCATGCATGTTGCAAGTGTACGATTCAAATGTTTCAATTGTTTTTGAGGTATGTTGCTGGTGTTTCATACAGATGTTGCAAAAATAGAACAGGATGTTGCAAAAATAGATCGGGATGTTACATATGTTGCAATGGTTGTACACGTATGTTGCAAGCGTGTGTCGTCAATGTTTCATCTGTTTTTTTAGACGTATGCTGCAAGTGTGTTTTGTCTCGATGTTGCATATGTTTCACACATATGTTGCAAGTGTTTTATCTGCATATTGCATATGTTAACCATGGGTTTCAGGTGTTTTAGATGCATGTTTCAAGTGTTTCATCTGTTTTCAAACGTATGTTGCACGTGTTTTTTCTGGATGTTTCAAAAGTAGATCTGATGTTGCACATGGGATGCGCGTGGGAGTGGGAAGGGGCGCCAACCGGCCCCGGGTGGGCGCGGAGTGCAGGAGCGCACCGGGGAAACGAATCAGCCCGGTCCACGGTACCGTCCGACGGATCATTATCCAATCGGACATTCGGGCACCAGCAGTTTCGAAAAAATATGTATCATCTATACCTCTAGACAAAATTTATTCTTTTGCTTATCTTTTATACCTCTAGAAAGAAATTATTATTTTGTTTGTCTTTTTTACTTATGACAATGCTCTGACACCCTGTGCCCTGTACGTGACCCGAACTCATGATCGACTTGCGCTTATATGAGGTACAACAACTCGCAACGGTGCAGAGTCTGACCCGTCAAGCGACAGCATGAAGTTCAATTTCAAGATATACTAGAATAGATCATGGTCATTGGATAAAATCTCCGAGCCACAAATTATCTAGGTGGCTATACAGAAGTTATACATTCTGTTGCAATGAAACCATATTTTCAAGATACACGGTTTTCACTATGGAGACATTGTGTATATATGGGTCCTAAACGATTTTCAATTTAAAACGAAAGGAGTATAATATTTTCACTACCGCCAGATTTAACTGATGCTTTGGACAACAAAACTGGCCTGCAAATGCAGTTAGTACTATACTTAGGCTACCTACAACCTCAATTTCTCCTGACCGAACAGCGTATATACATGATAAATATTGATAATTTTTACGTGAACTTGATCTAAATTTAGTCCCATACGGGGAAACCAATGTGGCGTGGCAATGCTCAAATGCGTGGGCGAGCGCAGCCAAGGCGTGCCGCATGACCTACCCATGACAGCACACCCAGAGCACGGGGAAACTCGTGAGCTGGAGACCTCGTGCGTGGCAAGCGCACGCTGCAACCATACTGAACCACAAGGAAAAGATTCACCCCCGGCCACCACCTCTAACCGGTAGTCCGGTACTCTTTGGGCTCATGACACATCAGCCTAGCTTTTTTTTTCCTTTTTTTTTTTGCCCCTTATATTCCCAGTGGCCATTGCACCTCTCTAAGTCGTCGTTTTCTTCTGACGTCAAATTAACAGCATATACATGCATGCCAGCAAACACCAGATCGAGGTTCATGGCGCTCCAGAAATTCCAAAATTCAGGACAACTGCTTTGTGACGACCTACGTGCGCTACCATCTTCGCTTGAAGTTGATCTCCTCATCGGCGGCGTCGCTTTTAGTCGAGCCCTCGTACGCGTGTCTCCTGTACGAGTGCCTAGAGCTGGATCTCTGACTTCTTGAACGCGCTCGAGCTTTCTTCCTACCATGAGGCTCCTCATTTTGTTGTCATGTAACTCAGAGATACTACTGTCCTGGGCATGTCGACGCTGACCACCGTCCCTTAGGACTGGTAGTAGGATGCTCTCCCACCTTCTTCTGACCATGAAACTCCTCACCGTCGTCAGACTCAATGGTGGTTCAAAAGGAATGTTGAAACCATATTCAGCACAGTTGGTGTTTCCATTTCCAGTGGCGCCAACCTTCTTTTGCTTCTTTTCGGACCTAGGCCTTGTTTAGTTCCTCCCCTTAAAGTTTACTTCCTATCATATCGGATGTTTGGACACATATATAGAGTATTAAATATAGACTAAAAAATAACTAATTGTACAGATTGCGACTAATTTACGAGACGATTTTTTAAGCCTAATTAGTCCATGATTTGACAATATGGTGCTATAGTAAACACGTGCTAATGACGGATTAATTAGGCTTAATAAATTGACATCCCTAAACTTTACTCCCTGGATTTAAACACCACCTTAGTCCTAAACACTTTTCGCTCAAGCTTCCTTGAAACTATTGCTACACCATCAGGTTGCGCTGCAGTTTCTGGCATCTTTGGTTCAGGAAAGGTTTGATCGGCTCCCAAAGGCTGTCCTCCCACTCCAAATGAAGAGTTGTAATATGATTGTTCAAAAGGAATGTGGAAATCATATTCAGCACAGTTCATGTTGCCATTTCCAGTGGTGCCAGCCTTCTTTTGCTTCTTTTCTGACTTAGCCCTAACCACTTTCCGCTCAAGCTTTCCTGAAACTATTGCTACCCCATCAGGTTGTGGCTGTTTCTGGCATCTTGGTTCAGGAAAGGTTTTCATGTCACCTGCCGTGGCAACAGTCTTCTTCAGTGATGTTTTTTCACTGTCTTCGGTTTTACTCTGGAGATCAGAATGTGTCGATTTCTCCACTGGATTCTTGCACGAAGTTATCAGGCAACTCCCTTCAGTAGTAGCCGATGGTGCACTACCCATATGTTGCTTAGTGTCCCCTTTTAACACAGCGGAAGCGGTGACAGATTTGGCATCCAAATTGCTGCTATTGGAGCTTGCAAGATTCCCTGTGCCACTTGAAAGGCCACCAGCCCTTGATGATAACAAGCTTGAGATTGTAATTCTAAGGGTTGGATTGGGAATTAGGGTCATCTGCAAGTATTTCGACACCACAAAGGCACTTCGATTGAGTAATAATGTAGTCCCGAATGCCTGAAGACCAAAAACAAGTAGGTCGGGGTTATTTATCATGCAGCATGAAACTAATACTGCGACTATCAATAAAGATTCCAAGGATACACATGAAACCCATTTTACAAAAACTGCACCACTTATATTTATCACAGAAACTATCATAACAGCACCTGCTTGACAACATTGCATCTATCATGACCTTCTTGCATAGTGGGCAGTGGAGTTCTGCTGGCAAACTATCAGTTACACTGCTAGGTGCTAGACATGTCCTGGGCCAGTTCTGCTGGGATGACATCATCAAAGCTAGATACAATGGGGATCAATGAACTGGTTCTTCTGGAATCATATTTCCTGTTGCCATAGTTTGGGCAAGAATTTTTTTTTCTAGAACACGACTTCACGTGTATTTCGTTTGGGCAAGAATGAATAAAGTGTCCTGGGACTCCACATTTGTAACGGATATAGCCAGGTGGAGGCGGCTTGCTCCCTGTTGGGCACTGCCAAATGAAATGTCCAGGAATACAACAAACACGGAAAACATAGCCAGGAGGGGGTGCCTCCCCTTCCATTGGACGACCTTCAAATAAATATTCAGAGTCAGAGAATGCATGAAAATATATTAAAAGTAAGGCAAAATTAAAAACATAGTATGCAAAATGTGAACAAACTCCTAAGGCACTTATATAGTTACAATTCTCTCAGTCAAATCATCATCATTTCGCAAGAATGTTGTTTAAATATACCATACCAGCCTATCAGCATTGAACAATAGATCAGGAGAGTACTGCACTTAAACCAGGCTAGTGTAATTGGCTTGAAAATGACTAATTATAAGTAAATGTCAAGGCAATGTCAAAACAAAAGTGGACAGTATATGGATGCATTAGTAAATTACCACAATGGTAACCCAACTGTCCACCATCATATCCACCTCCAGATAAAGAACCTCCCCTACATAAGTAGGCAAACTCAATCAATATTACAGCATGCATTTGCATACAGAAATATCAATTCAATTCTTCCAGGCTACTACCGCAAAAGGATCAGGGG